GTGTCGACATGATGCTGTAACTTAGCACTTTCTCTTGAGCCCGGGAAAATATTTTTGAAACACAGGCAGCACGCAGACAGGGAGGCGTTAGAGAACTTTTGTAGCTTTTCATCAACTGAATCAGTGTTGCACATTTAGCCCATCACGACATCTCCATTTTCCACAGCTGGCACCCCCTTCCCATTGAGACATTCTTTCTTGACCTCTTAATCATCATCAAGCCCCTGCGAATAGTGCTACAAGGAAAATACCGTACCTGTGTGTGTTCAAGGACCGGCGAGACTCCACCTGTTCTTTGTCTGTGTCAGAGTCTCTTGAAGACTTGCTGCTAGTGCCTTCTTCTCTGGGGGGTGAATGTTGTGGTGTTGGCCTCCTTGGTTCCACCTTTCTCTGGGGAACTGGATTTGACTGGAAACGTCTCTTTCTGGTAGCAAAAACAGAGCTGAAATTTCCCCGTGGGGTGAAGTCGCCCACGCGGGGCCTGGGATTCACTGATGGGGGGAGCCTGAGCCCCATAAGAGACTCTGCTTTGACTTGTCTGCCTCTAACTAGGTAACTTTTATCACCAAAAGGTTTACCACCAAATGGCCTGGGAAAACTGAAAAACTGAGGTCGGTCTCTCCTGGGATGTTTCAGATTGCCATGCTCTTGTGCAGCGTCTGCAGGGGGCATGCTAACATCAGATATCTTCCTCTTGCGGGGTCCAGGCCCCTGCCTTTCCTGAGGGCTCCTGTGGTAGGATGTTGACTGTGGTGGACCTCCTTTCCATGAGGGAGATCTGAAAGGGAGCTGGTGAGGGACATCTTGTGCTCTCTCTCTACTGTGGGATCTGCTGCCCTGCCTCTCCACTGGACCACGCTGCCGCCTGGAGTCTTGCTCAGATGACCACCTGCATATCCATCAAACAATACAGAAATAATTACAATGACAGATCCATTGTCATGTTAAGTGGGAGGCGGAACTTTTAACTTTTATCTTAATGCAGCCCTTCATATTGTCATGACAGAATGAATCAGGTAGGAGAAGTACATTCACAGAGTAATTACAGATGTAACACTCCTCAATGGCAGGTGAAACCACATTTACATCAGACCCCCATTTATCCCCTCTAATAACTATGGGTTGGGGCAGAGTAGAGGTAATCATTATGACCCCTGTGATTTCGAGGACTGGGCCAGCTTCAGGCCTCCTCCTTACTAATTTTACCCAGCTGGGATAGTTGCATCACTCCTGTACCTCTCTGGACACGGGCCTCTCCCATGCATCTCTCTGGGGCTCCTCTGTGACCCAGAGGGCCTGTGCTCTCCATTGTGTGGATGAGAGAATGCTCCAGCCTCGTTCCAGCGCTTCATGCCATGACCTGAGTGCTCATAGGGCCTTTCTCTGGGGTTGAAATTCCCACGAGGATCTCGACTCCGCTGCTCCTGATGGGAAAAACCTGACTGCCTTTTGTGGCCCCTGAAGGACCCCTGAAAGGCTTGTGAAGAGCCTGGCCTCCTGTCAGCTGGGTGGTTACGAAAATGTCTCGGGGAAGGTGACCTGTGCCCTGAGGGTTGGCCGTGGAAAGGTGGGCCCCTCTGACCTGGGGATCCTTGTGCAGGACTGCGAGAGGTTGATGGGTTCTGGCCATGAGGGGGTCGATTTGGCCTAGATGGAAAAGGCCTCCTCTGGCTATGATGCGGTTCCATTTTGGGAGAGTATGATTGAAAGGAATCCTGATTAGGGGACCTCATGTTATTGAAACGTGGCTCCCTTTGCTCTCCCATCAGGGGGACTCTCTTGACAACTGGGGGTCGTCCTCTACCTCTGGAATCTCTCCAGTTAAAGGGGGTCTTTACTGTGTAACCTGGGGCATCTCTTCTATTTTTAGGGTTATAGTTCCCTTCATTCTGCCCCATTCCATGACCTTCTCCGTATGGTCTGAGAAGACACAAGAAAAACAAAGATGCGTAAATTAAAACACATCATCCCATTCTAAAGTACAATATTTTGCAACAACAACAATCATAAATACCAAAGATTAAGTGGAAAAAAATATATAGTACATAGTTACAAATAAAATGTTGTCAAATTATTACCTATATGTTACAACATATTGCTAGCAAAAACACAAATAAAGAACAACACACTATTGCACACTTATATGCAACTAAATAGCATAACTGTTAAAATCCTGATCTTCCTTGTCTATCTTTTTAATTTTTGCGTCTGCCGCATGTTAGAAGCGTCATTGACCCCCCACTGACTTTATACAAGGAGGCCAAGTGGATAAAGTCTGTAGAAACTGCGGAGCATCTCACTGGAACATTTGTGTTTACATGCACCTCCTCCGGAAAAAATTGCCCAGTGCATGTCTGAAAGTCGCTAGAGAGAACAAACTTGACCCAGTCAAAATACATTACCTGGGCTTTATGCGTGGTGGTCCAAAATGTGGTCGGACCATCTTAGGAAGTATGTGAATAATCTATGGACAAAAAAAAACATGCTCAGTAAATAGATAAAATACTTAATTCCTAAAGCTAGTCACAATCTTTGTCCTGTCGTCACTCCACTGCGGAAAAAAGCACATTGCAGTCTGAAGTCTGAGTACAGCTGTTATTTCATAGTATAGATTAAAAATAGTTAAACAAATGAGCGGAGTCAAACGAAGCAATGGTGCAAAGTTCTACGGGTGTGACATTGTGGAAGCCAACCCACAGCATTGTTAACTATTGATCTTAGATAGGACAGAGTTCACTCAGTCTGAATCTTATCAGTTTCGTTTCAGACCAAAAAAAATAGACACTGTATTACAGTTGCCTTCATGATTATGTTCGGGTTGATTAAAACAGACAACAAACACGTTGTTTTTCATTTGATCTAGTAGCAAAACACCTTAACAGGACTGTACTAAGAATTGTGTAATTCATAATTCAAAATTACCATAATTTAAAAGAACATATCACAGATTGTATTTGAATATGTTGGGGCATAAAAAACACACCATGGTCCCTTTCCTTCGTTCAACAGGAATATGTGCGATCCTAAATTTAATATCGCAGATTAAACTTTCCCAGATGATTAAATTACAGTAATGCTCCAACTCGGTGTACAAGGGAACAGCGTGTTTAGGTTGGGTCTGTTTCAGAGGTGGCCGCTGTGTCAGCTTCTTCCCGGATCCATTACTCATGCGGACGGGATCATGGAGCCTCCATTTACGGTCAGAGCAACACGACACACATTAGGTTGAAGCCATCGTGTTGTCTGTGTGCGGACACCAGGTCCTACACTGCAGCGGAGGAGGACATTTTATTATCACACGGAGCCTCCATGTTTCCACTGGGTTTATTTTTAGCAACGCACCGTGGAAATACAGGTCGAGTTAACGCTAACAACCTTAACTCGCTGCTAAGTCAGCTAGCATGGGTGTTTCGCTGGTTTGTGACGCTGCGTTTAGAAAAATGGCACCGAGTCGTTCGAATCATCTTATTAACAACTAGACAAATTAAAAAAGGACAGAAAACGTAGTGTGATGTGTCAGTAAGTGTGATTCAACCACGAAGAGCAGAACTTACCCGAGCGCAGCCGTCGATCAGATAAAAGCTACGTGCGACACAGCTGAGCTTCTTCTTCGTCGCACGACACTCGTCTCCTAAAATAGCATTTGACAACCAGACTGCAGCGCCACCTGCTTCCCCGGAGGGTGAACTACGGGCTTTACTCCTAAACATGCTTGAGGTGTTAGTTTGACTTTAAAGGGATAGTTCACCGAAAAATGTAAATTCACTCATTATCTACTCACCACTATGCCGGTGGGTGAAGTGTTTGAGTCCACAAAACACTTTGGGAGTCTTAGGGGTGAACAGTGTTGCACCCAGATCTAGTTCAATTGAAGTAACTGGTGTCCACTTATTCTTCAAACATAAAGAAAACATGTTCGTAAGCCCTCACATTCAAATTTGACTCCAAATTTGCAGCTAAATGTCTCTGGAGGATAACAGCAGACATTTACCTTTACCTTTATCTCTACCTTTAACTCTTAGTGTTTGAGGGTGTTTGTCTTTTTCCCTCTGTATTTATATCAGTGACATTATAGCCATGTACGAGAAACAGTGTAACAGTGTAATGAAACATGATTTGATTCAATAGCATCTTGAACCACAGCTGCCAAAATGTCATATCAACTGAATCACCTTTAAAAAAAACTCATTATTATGACGTGTGAGGCTTGTAGAGTGGAACATGAACCTATTAGATCTCTAACATTATGCATTGATGTGTCCATGCTTACACTGTGTTGTATGTGTTATTTCAGGTGCTGTTGCCACTGTCTCAATTAATATGAGAAATAATTACCTCCACAATGTTCTGTTTTCTGCCCTGTCCGGTTTTATGTTGGTTGATTTTTTTTTTTTTAAGCAAGATTACGATAAACTGCTGAAGGATGCTGTATGGGTCAAGGAAGAGCCCATTCAAATTTGGTGTGGATGCAGGATTTTTTTTTAACTTTCTTTAACATTGGGAGATACAGTGTTTCTCAACATTTTAGTTGTTTTCTCAAAGAATAATTCATGGATCTTGATTAACTACAATTTCACGGGTGCCTGCAATCTGGTGCAGATCCAAACAAAAATCTATTGAATGTGAATGTGGTTCCATTAGGGGACTGTTGGGTCTTTGCAGAGGTATGCACTCTACTGAATGCCCTTCTAGTTTCTGTCTGTCTCTGTTCAGGGGATTAAAAACAATTGATTAACAGCCAGAATGATGGGCGTAACCAGGATTAAACAGTTTTCTCTATTGTTCCAATGCAGCTAATTCATCAGGAAGTGTTTCCCCCATCTAGTCAACTGTTTCAAAGCAGGCAGTCTGAGTGATTTCTTTAATTTCTGTAATTTACTTGTCTTTAAAGTTATAAATCTCTTCTCATCTTTGCAATACATCTGTTATCACCTTCTGTTCAGGTTATCAGCTCAATAACACCCATGAACACACACACTGAAAATGCAGAGCTCCAGTTTTTTACTTTTTATTGTTTCTGGTAACATTATCATGACCATGCTAACCATGCACAATGTCTACAGAAGTTACGTCACTTAAAGAGTTAATCTGATTGGGAGAGATTGCTCTTAAGAGCAGACAAACAATGTGGTTGCATGTATGTATCGTATTATCTTTGTATTTTCTTTTCACCCCCCTTGCAAAAAATCCTAAATGTGGAACAGCTGTTTGAATTTGCCCCAAAAATATAGAGCAAATCCTGATGCGCAGATGCAATTATTGGCTACTTCACTTACAGCGATTCAGAGAGCTGAAGCAGGGGATGCATTGTCTGAGAGACACATCTTAATGTCACTGTATACAGTGACGATACAGTATAGCTCATAATCATTTGCAGCATGGGGGAAATAACAAGTTTCAAACCAAGGTTCAAGTATTACAGGTCACACACAGTAATTCCAGTGGCCAAACATACACTGTAACACAAAACTAAAGTAGCTCTATCAGTCTAAAATTAAGCATCTCTACTGAAATTACATTTAGACATGACACAGAGAAAGAAAAAAGAAATCAGTGATTAGTGATGTGATGAACTGTTTGTCAATTTACAGGAGGTAATTCCTTCACAAGACCACATGGATGGAGAAAAACATGAGCAGCAAACAGCATCTTTATAGCTACAGGGCACATGTACTTACGGTGATTGTTAACATTGTGCCACTTCAGTCTTGGGGCCTGGTCACATATACACAAATGCAAAGCAAATATTGTTGGTTAAAGTTCATCAAAGTTGAACCCCACACATTCGCATATGCTTGCCCTCAAAATCTACTGAATGGAATCTATGCAATTACTGTACATCTGTTAGATGAATGCATCCATTAGCAACCTTGGAAACACATTTCAGCTAAATCAATCAGGAGTACATGCGAGAGGAACAGGACAGACATTTTTTAAATAAATCAGGAACGTGAGATGCCTCACCCAGCTACACATTAAAGGCTTAAAAGAGATTGTGAAATGCAGAGGTTCAAACAGTCCTCAATGCTCTGCGGTGAGGGGTCTGTGTGGGGACAATTAAAGATTCTTACCGAACAGCTAGCTCACAAAACAATATTTTCTAAAGGCCTATATTTAAAACCCTGATATTTGTTTTTCTGTCGTTACATCCAGAGACGCCTTCTCTCTGTGAGGCTTTCACATGTGCTCATCTTGCACTCACACACATACACTTGTCCCAGTAAAAAGGACTGCATGATAAACAACATTTCTGCCACACAATGTAAATGGTGATTAATTACCTCCGCCAAGGGGGGCAAGTCTTTGCCCCTGTTTTGTTTGTTGATTGGTGGTTTGTTTGTTTGTGAGCAGGATTTAGTAAAAACTACGGAACAGATTATCTCAAAACTTGATGGAAAGATGTGGTATGGGTCAGGGAAAAGGATTCAGACAAAGGGTAGATCCAGGATTTTGTTTTTCACCTTCTTTAGCTTTGGGAGATGAGGTGTTTTACTGACATTTTCACTATTTTCCCAAGTAATAACTCATTTATCGTGATGGAAAAGTTCAGACATACTTAGAGGATTGACATGAGTTTGTGCAACTTGGGACTGTTGGGCCTTAGCAGAGGTATGAACTCTCCAGGTTCGTCAAAGCAAGAAGGTTTTGTTTTCATCAGTTCGGTGGAATAATGCAGTATGGGTCAGGGAAGAAGCCATTACAGTTATGTGCTGATCCAGATTGGGGGCGGATCCAGGAACTTTCTTTAACATTGCGACTTTTCAAAATTTCCTTGATTTTTTACAGAATTGTTTATGGATCTTAATGAAAAATAAATCAATATCCAATAAAAAGTGAATTAAAATGTGGTTTCATGAGGGGACTGTTGGGCCTTGGCGGAGGTTTGAACTCTATGGAGTGCCATTCTATTTGCTATGAGATTAGATTACAGGAGATATTTTGTTTATACTGCAAGTCATGATTTATATATCTTTTTAATTCAATCTCTATGGCTCTAATCCCATAAATGTAGCACAGGGGCACATGCTCAAAATGTGACAACCTGTGAGTGTATGTGCGTGTGGGGAGAAAGAGAGAGAGGGAAGGCAAGCGACAGAGGAAGAGGGAAGGAGATTAATGGACTACTGGATGCTAAATTTATTCGATGACGAAGGCGACATCCCGATGAGCTTAGAGTCTGACATGGGACTAACAACGCCCTCAATGAGGTTCTTGTTGCAGTCGCCCATGTTGCTCTCAGAGGTCAGTTTGGGGAAGGTGACGCCGTCGGTCAGATCCATCAGGTCTTCGAGAGCACGGGTGTTACTCAGACCACTGTGCTGGATCTCAATGACCGGTGAGAACTCTGGGATTGAAATCAGTTCTTCCTTAGAAGCTGGGCTGAAATAAATCAAATAAAAAACATGCAATATCAATGGTGCATTAAAGAACACTGATATTCAAAATCAGCTCACCAGAATAACGTTTCCCACTCTAGACGACTCACCCCACTCTAGACGACTCACCTGACCTCCATGGACTGCACCTCATCACATGACCCCTTCCCCTTCACATCCAGCAGCTCCAGCTTGATGATTGACGGCGACAGGCGCCCCACCAGCGGGGGTGTCACAGAGGGTCTTATAACCTCCACCTGGGACCCTCTGTTATCGTTTCCCTCTGCAGCTGACACACGCAGGCTTTGTTGTTTGCTTCCCTCAGCAGTTTGACGGCTACTCGACAAGGCACTTCCACTACCCTTCAGTGCTCCATTCATCACACCCCCCTGCTTTACACTGGTTTTGGCATCTGCTCTCAGCTTTGTTGGCTCTTTATTTATTTGGTCTTTGGCTTTTACATTTTCGACACGCTGCTCGTTCACATTCATTTCCGTCCCTCTTCTCTGCTTCTTCACATCACAGGCCTTGCCTTCCTTGCTAAGTCGTCTGTGATGATCGTCACTGGTTTGTTTGGCATCCGGTCTCTTCTCGGGAACACTGTGTGTTGGTGTTACATGAGTGTTGTTTTTAGCTTGTAAAGTCTTCTGATTGTCCATCTGTGCTGCAGCTGATGCTCCTGCTGCTTCTTTCTTCACCAGGGCACATTCCTTTGAGTTGACCTGGACTGTGACTGGCTCTTTAACCTGAAACTCAACATTTTCGGACGCTTGCCTGTTCACCTGAGCATTCGTTTGAACAGTCTCTATATCCCCTGTGGAGAATGAAAGTAAAATCACAGTGGGGTTCACTTTATTTGGAATGTCCAGTTAAAATGAACTGAATTTCATAAGTAAAGAAACTGATCATTTGCCCAAAGTCCTGTCCTGCTGACACGTACCAGGATTATTGGACAAACTGATACTAAATAATGACGTGAACTGTAAAACCCAAATGTGTAGATCATTATCACAGGACAGTTGAAGTAAAGTGTTGGCTAACACTGTACAGAGCAATCCCCTATTGAGACTGGATATTTCTTCAAGGTCATTTTCAAGTGCAGCTAATTCTACAGTCAAGCCTCCATGGCACTGCTCTGCATTAAAAGGGTCTCTGTCAGCACCAAGAGTATTGTTCTTGGCTGCTGCTCTATATTCCAGAAACTATGTGAAACTGTGTAACCCCAACCTCAATGCACAAAAAATATAACAATATGCACAATTTTGCTCGGCCAACATAAGCTCATGTAGACAAGGATCACTGCTGTTCATTCTTCTGAATAGCCAAAGCAAAAGCATCCTAATGAATTACAAAACAAACACAAGACTGCTGGGAAAAAGAATATTGGTGTCTGTGTCTCCGCCTGACATTTCACAAAAGCCAACTCATAAAAATGTAGATCTATGCCACACATGCTCAAAATAAGCTGATAATGAATCAGATCACAAACCGCACATGCCCTGTTTGCATTTTTACAGCTGCAAGGCATAAAGCGAGTCATGGAGTGAGCACAAGAAGCAAAAAAACTGAAAGCATCGCAGGGCGATTGAAGGACATACTAACCTGAGACAGACTTCGTCTCCACCTGCTCCTCCTTTTGATTTAGTGCAGAGGAGAGACAATCGAGTCATTATTTGTGGTAATCAGGACACAATAACCAAAGTATCACCAACAAAATAATTTAATAAAGGTAATAACAACAGAAAGTCAAAGTTTTCATAAATAAAATTTGAAAAAGAAATCTCATTCGCGTGATGAGCAGGTGCTTAAAGGCAGCAGGTTTACTGTATGAGAGCAGAGGGTGTCTCTTACAGTACCTTGAAGTCAGCTTCACCCTTCCTAGTTCTCTTCATGATCTCCTCAATTCTCTGCAAAAAAAACACATCAACACATAATCACAGTGTGAACCTTAAAGGGAGTTTGATTTTTCAAGTGTTACATTCAGTCAGCTTGCAGTGAACGCTTGGACTGTCCTCTCTGAGAGTTTTAATAACCTTTTTTCTCAGTTGCCTCTCCTCCTCTTCTTGTTGTGCAAGTACTTCTCTGTCCTGCCGCTGACGCTCTGCATCCTCCTGAGCCTGGACTTTGGCTTTTTCTCTCTGTTAAGGTCAAGATGAAATCTATTAATATGTTGTACAAACTGTGAGACAGATTTTATATTTTTGCAGCATTTGCCAAGATCACGTGAAAGTCAAAAGAATTCACCCCAAAATATCAGACCCAGACAAAGTAAGATATCTGGGTCTGTCAGATCTTTAGAAATGATTTATCCGATGTGCAGTGTCAGTGCAAAACTGTATGTACAAGCCGACATGTTGGCACAAAAATGTTTTGTTGTATGTGTAGATGATGTTAGAGCCAACTGTACTCCATTATACACAGCACAATTGGGTGCAGCCATGGTCATGCAAAACTGAAAAAACCTCAGGTGGCTTGTAATGTTAATAGCAAACAATGCCTTCATCTTTCAAGCATAGCTTTATGTTTCTATTAACTCAAAAAGCATGGTCATGAGGGCCTTAACTGAGAATAGGTGCTCACCTTGTTTTTGGAAACACTGGAACAAAAGTCTGAATGTGTTTACAATCACTGTGTAGCCTACTCGTAAAGTGTGATGATTGTATTCTATATATTTTGCGCTGCAATTAGTAACTATTTTTATCTACTATTGTTATGGTCAGCTTAAGGTTTTTTTTATGGTCAGTTTAAGGTTTTTTCTCTAACCTCTTTATCCATCTCTTGCTCCTTCTCCTGCTCCTCCTTCTTTTCTTGGTCTTCTTTTTGTTTCAGCGTGTGAACATTCTCATTCTCCTCATTTTTCTTCTTTTCCTCCGCTTGTTGAGCCTTCACTTCTTGCCGCTGCCGCTGCTCCTCTGCCAGTTGCTTCCTTAGCTTCTCCTGCTCCTGCAGTCTGATCGGCAAGTAAAAATACTCATTACACACATCAAAACATATGACTCATACTGTCTTTAATACAAGAGTCAATCAATAAACTCACCTCTCTTCTTCCTCCTGTTCCCGTTTTTTCTCCTCCAGTTCTTTCTGAGCTCGAGCCTGACGCCTCCGCTCTGCCAGCAACCTGGTAGCCTCCTCTGCGTTTGTTGTGCCAGCTGCCAACTTCCCCATGCATGATGCTGCTTCTGTCACAGGACAGGCTGGTGTAAGAATCATCTAAATTTATTAAAACTGAATGATGAAATTAAAAAAATCTTGGCTAATCACCTTTTTTCTTGTCTCCATCCTGCACATTGCTCTGCAGTGTCTTCTTCTCTGGGGAATCCACTTTGGGAGACAAGTGATCCTTTCTGTCAGGAGACTGAATTCTTTCCGGTGTGTCGCCTCTCAGGAGCTTATCAGACGTTTCAGCCTTAGATGATCTTGTTTTAGTGATTTCAGTGTTCGCCACAGTTTTCTCAGCTTGCAAAAATGGATTAGAGCCATTTGTGTCGGTATTCTTTTTCAATGCTGTCTCAGCTTTGGATCTTTCACCCTGTTTTTCCAACTTCTTGTTTTCTGCTTTCCTGTCATCACTTGACACATTTGGACGATGTCTTGTAGGGGAGCAATGGTACTGGTGTGCGTTGCTCGGAGACTGGGCACGGATCTTAGATGCCAGCCTGCACACAGATAGAGATGTTTGGCTGAAGAATTAAGTTTTATAATAGGAAAGAAAGAAATAGGTTAATAGGTCTAGCTGACCACTGCCATCCCAGATCGCATACGGACATGGGCCACTTCAGGCAATAATGCAGCACTTCTGACCTTCTTGTGGCATGGACAAAACAGATGTGAGCCTAAAGTGGTCCAGCAAATGTGATCCAAATATCCCAAAACAGATGTGGGCCCTTTCGGGCAAACATGCGGTGTTCTAGGTAAGGTTTAATCTGGATTAGAACCTCAAAGGGCCCATGTGGTAAATGGTGAATATGGCCCAAATAGCACAAAACAAATTTGGGCCATGCACCTTTGGTTGACATGCGGTATTGCCTCGGCTTACTTGTGGCCTAGGTCTGCCAAACAGGAGCAGACCTGGATAAAAGTGTGACAGTGAGGGCAACCATGTGGGATTGCCCGACATTCAAATCAATGAAGAAAATAATCTTACTTGGAGGTATTAGGTGAAGCCAGGTGCTTGGCTACACTAGCTGGAGATTCAGATCTTCTCAGAGGTGATCCACAACCTGGTGATGCGGTTCTTCTCTCTCTGCGCAGCCGCTCTTTCTGCAAGCATGTGTTTCAGTGATTCATTTAAGCTGTATGATCCAGCAGTGAGTGTTTGATGCTGTGTTAGCACATAATACGTTTAAGGACTGACCTTGGGGGTATTGGGAGTGGACTGGGAGCCTCCCTGAAGTCCAGCTCTGTTGTGATCTGCAGGGTTCAGCGAGCTGCAGAAAGGCGATCTGTGAGGACTGCAGGGCGCTGAGTGACGACAAACAGGACGCTTTTCAAACCAAATGATGGTAAACGGCAAGTGACAGAAGGATATTAATGATAAAGTATAACCAGGGGGAGGGGGGTGTCTGGACAGTGTGTGCTGCATTCAACTGGAGGGTGCAGACTCGATTCTGCAGCTGGCAGGGATGATACTGCGATACAAATTAATATGAGGATTAATATGAGGTTCTGTTTCAGTTTAAACCACAATATTTGGGTATAAATCGAATAGTGATACAGGTATCCATGTTTCAATCCATGTTTTTTCTTGGGGCAGAAAAGCTGCAAACTAACACCTCAAATGTATGAAATGAAAATATTTCATCATCACTCATTGTTTATTTTGCTGTAAAGCATTGTGGCCTTTCTGCAGCTCACAAACATCATGTGAAGGGAGACGTTTGTGATTCTGTGAAAAAGTGGTTATTGATTTTCCCCAGAGTCTGACTGTTTCAGGGATAATGAACCCTGACTGACTCAGCCAACAGTGATGGAGAGTGTTAATGCCCCAGTTAAGTCTGTTTTTTTAATTAATCCCTGTATGTGTTTTACGGCTGTGCAGTATGATGCAAGCACACACATGCCAGCAAAGTCTCTACGAGCAATAATCTCAGATCCAGTCCCGAACATGTTCTCACGCCGCCAAAACAACGACAGCAAATTAAAACACAGACCTTGCGCAAACTCACAATCACAAAAGCAAAGGTCCTAAACGTGTACAACACAAGGAGCGGTTTTCTTAGGCACCTCTTGTAACTCTTGCCATCTGTCACTATCTCTAAAAACTCATCTCTAAAGAGCACAGCCATCTCAGTGGGATGACGGTCTCAGCATCTATTTTAGTGCACGTATTTTTATTCTAGGTCATTTGCGACGATTCACCAAAACTGTCTGCTCCAGGAGTCCGGAGTCAACAGCACTTAGCTGCTTCCATTTTGAAACGCTAATCTCGAGACATCAAAAACACAAAAGTGACACAGATCCTGCCCACACAGCTACGCTCTATTAAAATAATATCCCTTGTGGAGGAGATCATTGAGATGTTCTAATGTCCTTTAGCCTGTGTGTAATTACTGAGATGTTACTAATCTGGGGCAACTAATCCAGAGTGTTGACCTCTGGGGAAATTTAACAGAAAGTTGAACATACTGAAAGTACATGTTTACGAAAACAAACATGCCACATAGGAATACTGGGCTGAGGGAAAATGAGTTTCCAGCAGCAAGATTCAGTCTATGAAATAGCTGATGCAGATGCATTTCCTTATTGACCTTTTCTGCATGGTGGTCCATGAGAAGCTGTTCTGCAGAGAGGAAAGAACTAAAGTCCTGCCACAGCATTATGCAGAAGGAAATATTTTGCCTCGGTGTTGTCTGAAAATGTGGATAGATACGTTTTAACCAATAGCTCAAAGATAAATGCCATTGCAGCAAATCATAAGCACAGCAAACATAATTAAACCTGAAGCACATACAGATTACTTGCAAGCTTTCAATGTATCACACTTGCACAAAAACATAAACCTTTAAATTAACAGAGCAGCTGAACATGCACGCATCCTATGCAGAGAACACATTTGCCTTTGGTTTAAAGGTCCAGTGTGTAAGATTTCGTTGAAAGGGATCTATTGGCAGAAATTGAATAGAATATAATCCTAGTGATGTTTTCACTAGTCTGACTCATCTAAATTGTATGAATTGTTGTTTTATTCACTCTCTTTATTGAAATACTTTATATTGACATCGGGAGCAGGTCCTTTCTACAGAGGCCGCCATGTTTTTTACAGTAACCCAAATTGGACAATCACCACTAGATGTCACTAAATTCTACACACTGAACCTTTAAGTTTAAATTTCAGCTCTGCCCAAAGGCAAACACAACGCAAACACGGTAACTGTTAGATGACCATGAGGGAAGATAGATTTGGGAGGTCATGGGGGGGGGGCTTAACATTACCAGATTCGCTGACAGCAGGAAGGGGGGAGGCAATGCCATGGGAAAAGGCGGAGGCAGCAGAGAAAGGGAGTGGTGCATTCTCACTGTCACCTATAGGCAGCAGGCGGAGCAGAGCAGACAGAGCATTATGAACAGTTCATCTGAGCAGTTCCTCATCCAGCTGTACACACCTGGATGGGAGTTAACGCACCAGCAGAGATGTCGTGATGAACTGTAAGTCATATTTTTTTCATTTTTCTGGTTAAAAACCACAATGTGTAGTTTTAGAAAAAGTGCCACATACAGAAACGTACTGTTGTGTTTTGAAAGTCAGGCACAAATGTTCATAACATGTAGTTTAGTTCTGCAGAGACAACAGCACAGACATAACTCCATCCTGTGTCTGTAGGAAACCAGAAACACATCTCTGCTCATGCGTATACTTCAGCAGCCACGATGCCATCAGCAGTAATCAGGCCAAAGGACAGGCTCTCTCTCTCACACACACACACACACACACACACACACACACACACACACACACACACACAAACACACACACACACACACCGGTTGTGTCTCCATTACTCCATCAAACTTTAACCTGACCTCAACATAAACCTAACCATTGTTACTATTTGTACCCTAACTCTTACTTCAACATAAACCATAACCCACAACCCACACTTTAACCTTAACCTTACCTAATACCATCTCTTTTGAAGAAAAGAACAAAATATTCTTCCATTTCCAGCTGTTCCACTTAATTCACATTTATATTAAATCCTCTGCCTGGTATGTATTCACAATAATCTCTGTTTGCCTTTATATTCTTTGTGCTTACCTGCTCCTGAAGAGCAGCCCCTGCTCCAGCGCTTGGTCCTTTGCTCCAGCAGAAGGCTTCTCTCAAAAGAGCGTTTCATCAGGGCCTCCAACCGCTCCTGAAGGCAACACAGCAGAGCCAACCTTTTCAAACACTGTTCTGTCATTACCGGCATAGCTTTTTTTTGGTACTATAATAGAGAATAATATAGAGTCTATCACAGTCCAACATGATATGTCTGTGCATTTGTTCCATTTGTTCCATTTGTTCCTTTCAGGGTCGTAGAGGGAGCTGGTGCTAATCCCAGCTGACATTGAACAAGGTTCACCCTGGACAGGCACAGTCATTGTGTCGCAGGACCAAAATATAGAGACAAACCATCATTCGCTTTCACATTCTTACCTATAATCAACTTAGAGTCTTCAATTAATCTAACCCCAATATGCATGTCTTTGGACTGTGGGAGGAAAACCCTCACAGATACAGGGACAACATGCAAACTCCACACAGAAAGACCCTGAACCAGGACTATCACTGTGATATCCTGTGAAATCTTTGTGTCCTCCAGAACGTTTTGTACATTCATTGTCAAAACCTCACACCAGCACAGATAACTGGAGTTGCACAGAGACGACCAATTAGTGTTTTATCCAGCTGACCCTCTCCTCCTCCAGCTGCTGCCTCCTCTTCTCCTCCACTGCAGCCCTGCGGAGCTCCTCTTTCTGCCTCTGCTCCTCCAGCCGCCTCCAGCGCTCCTCCACTGTGCGCTCGTACTGCAGCCGAGCTCGACGCTCCTTCTCCCTGATAAGCTGCTCCCTGGCAGCTGAAATAGACAAGACAAAGAATTTTTGGACATATTCTCAATGATTATCCTCTAACTTTACACTTACAGAAAAACATTTGATATTAATGTGAACTTGTTACAGTGACTTTGATTCTGTCTGTCAGCCCACACTCTAAATCAAGAAGATAGAACTCCTTGTCACCATGAGGCTAATTCAAGAGCTAGAGGACGAAGTGCAAGTGTGAGACCTACTTTTTTCCACTATTCTGTGACACTGCCACATCCTCTGAAGTGACAACGCTCATCAAATCAGCAAGTCAGTGAACTCAAAATGAATACTCTATTGGTTAGAAAAGCCCCTCTGCAGCCAATTAAACTGTCCAGCCGAACAGAAACCTACAGGCATTTCAGAGCATCTCAGTTCATAAAATCAGACTAGGTGGTTTCACGGGTACCAAACAAAACCGGGACATCACCCACCCAGGCTTCTCTCCCTCTCCTCACGTCTCTCTTTGGCCAATCGCATCCTATCGTCCGTCTTCATGTAACCCTCGACGGCTGAAAGAAGAACGAAGACATCACAGAACAAAATAACAGACACTGGCAATAAACACATAATTAAAGGACAGAGAAAAGTGGGTGTAAAAGAAAGCAAACAGTGAGACTTACTTTGTTTACCTGCATGGTTTGCTGCTGGGTGCGAAGGAGACGCGTGTCCGTTTATTTGTGGCCTTTTCTCTGTGTTAGATGGAGCTGGAGTCACCGTGACAGAAGAAGGAGAGAGCACACACAGCTTTGTCCAAAGATGCATAGTATCGGTGTCACATTACTGAGCTGCAGTGTAGCTTTAATACCACCAGAGGGAAAGCATCCTGCACTCTGTCTTGAGTGAATTATGTTGCAAAGTGCCCTCGTGCCAAGGGCAAACTGCAGCAATACGCAGCAGAGGGCTGGAAACTGTCCTTGATGAGACAATTGCTCCACATACGTTCACTGTGAGATGCATTTTTCTGATACGCACATGCCTCTAGACTCATATTAGGCAATGTGCAAGCAGGAAATATACCAAATCATTGTGCTGTAAATGATGATGGAAGGAAAGTGTGTGTCATGTGAGGATTACTCACGCGTTTTTCCTGTTCGGGCTGGAGAGCTTTGACCGTTTGTCGGAGATCTCTTGTCAGGAAGTAAAGTGATGGATGGTGGTGCCATCTTCTCACCTAAATAGCACACACAAAACAAATGAGAAGAATAAAGAAAATAGTGTTTAGATCAATGAAGAGTATTTAGTACATCAATATTATAAACCACAGTTTTCGTTAATGGTGTGAATGGATAACTTGGCTGGTTTAGATACAGTCGCAAAGTGTGTGTTGTGGATGTGTTGAGGGGTCAGAATTTTCCATTGGGATCAATAACGTATCTATCTGTCTATCTATCTATCCATCCATCCATCCATTCATCCATCCATCCATCCATCCATATGTAGATGAGGGAGGGAGTTGCATGTGACATCACCTTAACACAAAATTTTTATAAATCTATTATAAATGGAGTGAAAAAACATAACCTGAAGTAAATTTGAAACCTTATTTTGATGCAGAATACAAATAATGAGCAGATGTATTATATCAATACTTAGGGAAATCTATGACATAATAAAGATATTGAATAATGAAAAAAATTGGTTTCCAATAATTATATATCTACATCTTGACACAATAAAGAGCAGCAATCAAAGAGAGTTCAAATTGTTAATTAATTCTACAAATTCACTGAATCAGTGTGTGCACTTCAGGCTAAACTGCCAACAGCCGCTTCACTTGGTCAAGTGAATTACTCTTGTGTCAGTCTGGGCTTTCATTGTGTAGTGAAACCTGGCAGACAACCCTGACTCCCACTTAAAGATGGTTTAGAAGCCAGGAGACAGCTGCTGATGCTGCTGTATTTCACTCTGCTCACTTTGACCTCAACTTAACTGACTTAACTAAACATGTTACTGCACTCGTTCGTCATGCTTAACTTGTGTCATTCATCATTTTCCATAATAAGATGTATTATTGATGATTTCAGTGGCCACATGGGTAGACTTCACTGGAATGATGCAGGGTGTGTTTACTACAGCTCTATGGCTTTGAAGCACTCTAGCATCTTGGTTTCAACATTTGTCTTTGTGGGTTGCTAACACAGCGTGGCTACATCTTTCCCTGTACATTCTGTAGTTTTATTCATGCACTTGTATCTTTGTTTACGTTTCATCTTTCCTTATCTCATGTGGAGACTGAAATCCAAATAACAGAGCAAAGGTTTAATCTTATCCTGAACTGCAAAGTGGATGACCCCAGTCTCCACCCCAGTGAGTCACCAAACAATGATGCTTTTAAATTCAGTTTAATCCATGGGTCCTCCTCCTGTGCCACATGCAGCAGTACAGTCTCTCCGCCCTCTTAACCCCCCTTTTTCCTAGTCAATCACGTTATCACACAAATGAAAACACTGCTAATACACTGATTGCCTGATTTTGCTTTTGAGTTAAAGTACCACTACTCTCATGGATGAAGACAAAGTGCAGCTAACACAATAACAGGAGATACATGCAGCACATGCTCACTTTCTCTCCTGGTTAAAACCCATTAGACCTGTGATGAGGGTTTATTTGACACGAAATAAACATTTCTCTGTGTATCGACTTTGACCATGCATTTTGCAGCATGTGAATCACAACAACCAGCACAGTTTTATTAAGCGATTAAGGAATATAAAAAACCCAGATCGCCGGATGATCGCTGCGCAACCAGCAGTGCAAATGTCAGTTACGTCATTCAGGTCTGCTTCAAACCGCAATCACAACAACACAGAGCCGAGTGATGGTGAACGTGCGTGGCGCTTACCTGTAACTGCGCTGGATGACGGGACTGTTTTCGCCATGGTCACAAGAAAGAATAGACGCGATATCGTCAGGACGCGCAGTCACCCACGGCTCTGCAGTGGTGCCAATGCGCTGCTGCACCAACCGGGGTCCGCGTCTCTCCACCACCGCAGCAGCAGTGAGAGCAGCCACACCGCATTCAGCTGGGGAGTGTGGAGGTCATTGTGGAGGCTGAGGATGGGGAGCAGCCCGCGGCACAGGAGGGTTTGGTTCGGATGCGGGAGAGAGATGCTGCTCAGGCTGAAGCGGGTGATGATGGTGAGGATGGTGCGCGCACACAATCCAGTTTACTACCGTGCGTCGCTGCATAAATCCCGCCCACTTATGAGGGCTATTCACACATTATACTGGTAAAAGGGGGAGGCCCAAACACTGCAGCCAGCGATGACAGCACGTTTTGAGATGAGACTGGGTTGGCTATACACAACATGATCTACCATAAAATAAGATAAGATGAAATAAGACAAGAGAAGTGGAGACAAGATAAGATAAGATGAAGATGAGGTTGGCAAGTATAAAAAAGGCAATACAATAAATTAAAATATAGACTATATGAACATACTATACACCTGCATCATCATATGCAATATGCATATCCACACATTATGTCTCCTGCTGCACACTCAGCCCCACCAGCCTTAAACACCAAATGTAGCCAATGATGACAGTCAGATATAATCCTACTGCTGACTGGGCTATACACAACATGGTCTACCAATTAAGATTAGAGAAGAGAAGACAAGACAAGAGAAGAGAAGAGAAGAGAAGAGAAGAGAAGAGAAGAGAAGAGAAGAATTTGCATATATAGACTGTTATGAGAACAAAGGCAAATACACGATATGTGTGGTGTAAATAATATAACCTTTTATTATTGTTATAGTAGTTGTACTCGTGACATATACTTTTATTTTATGCATGACTTTTACACGTTGTCTCGGTTGTTCTGCTCTATCGAGACCAGAGAAGAAGAGGGGCAGCAGCACTGCTTCCTGCAGGAATTGACGACAGAGAGGAAGAGGGAGCGGAAGCGGAAGCGCGCAACCTAAGGACAGAAGTGCTGCTGACTGCTGTGAGCTAGTGAGTCCAGGAAAGATGCTGAGCAACATCTCTAACGTGCTGAGAACCTGCGCTTCCAGAAATGTAAGTACACACACTCGAAGGTGTCCCATTCAAACAGTGCAGGACAGCGTGGAACTAAAACCTCCGCTGTTCTCAGGAGACATGACAGCCGCCGCTGTTCTGACCTTGTGAGGCCGGATGATAGCTTGTTTGGCTAACAGCGAAAACTCGGCGTTAAATCCTTCTGACACTTCAGTGTGTTGGTTAATGAAGCTTCTGCTCTTTAAAATGTTCCCTGAACTTTACTCAGTGTATCGCTTTGATTCACATTATGTCGTCAGGAGCGCTGTTATCATAAATGACAGCTAGCGTTCATAACCTGTAAACTAGAGACCAGGCAGCTCATTCTGTGAAGTAGTGGAAATAATACAGAGCTTTAATAAAGTCTTATTTTATGGTCATCTATAACACTTCTGCTGAGATTAATTTCTTTATAAGGACTTTACTAACATGTCTATTTTTTTGTACTTATTTTCCTAAACTGGCTGATCACATAATCAGAATACTTGCTGGAAGTCCTAAGAAACTGTCAAATACAGTTTTATTTAAATAATAATGTTAGACTTGATCTCAATTATACATATGGACTGGAGAGGGTGACCAGATATGTGTCTATTGTAAAGAAAACAAAAATGAGAAAGCTGTTTTCTTTATTCATAGTACTATTTCAAAATATTCTGATTGTTATATGCCGTTTGATAATGTGAAACACAGTAAGGTGTCTTTGACATGCACTGAAGTTGAATATGCAAATTGGTAATGTACAACAAGCATCAGGTACTAAAAGCTACAATCAAATGTGTGGTCAGACAAAAATAATTTTATTTACTCATTGTCTGAAGAAATAATTACATTAAAACATTTTTAAAGTTTCTTTTAAGACAATATTTCATGTATGAAATCTTTTTGCTTATTTTGCTGAATAGGAAACTTAAAAGTAATATTGTATCATTTTAGGATTAATACTGACAAGTAATTTTTCAGAAATTTCAAACACTGAAAGCATTTTTTTAATCTATGATATTTTTATATTCCTCTTCTGTCCCATGTCAGGGAGCTGCGGTGGTCATTTCAGCACGCACATATGCTGACTTCACAACCCAGGCTACCTTTGAAGTAAAGGTAGGTGGCATTTTGCACTCAACTGATCAATGCACTTGTGAGTTTGTGTCATGAATTATTATGTATTTTTTCTTTTCTATAGAAATGTGATCTGCACAAGCTGGATGAGGCTCCAGCCACTCAGGTGGTTATGACTCGTGATGAGGGTCTGCAGTACTACCGAACCATGCAGACGATGAGGCGTATGGAGCTGAAGGCAGATCAACTCTATAAGCAGAAGATCATTAGAGGGTTTTGCCACTTGTATGATGGCCAGGTAGAGTCAACTATATTTTTTTCCAATTCTTACAACAAATTGCATGGAGGGTTTCATTCCAGTTTAGAGCTATGTCATATGTTTGGCAGCACAAGATGTGATAACTCAAACTTATTAAAAAGAAAAGTCAGAAAAAGTTGGGTTGTCACTTTTTATTTGAAATTCAATCATACATGCAACAATCTTTTTTCGGGAGCATCGACACACAGACAACATGTCAAGCTGTTTGTTTTCTCCCTCTAGGAAGCTTGTGCAGTTGGTATTGAAGCATCCATTAATCTGTCTGACCACCTGATCACTGCGTACCGCGCCCATGGATACACTTACACCAGAGGAGGGACAGTGAAGCAGATCATGGCTGAGCTCACCGGTGAGTCTGAAATGCTGACACACAGTCTGAGACATTTTCATTCGTGAGACAATTTTGAGCCCTAATCATTTTTGAGTTAAACATATTATTGTTCACTTTTTGTTTCACCTCAACTTTCTTACCCCTGGGTGCTTTTGTTTTTAATGTGCAGGCAGAAGAGGAGGTATTGCAAAGGGCAAAGGAGGATCAATGCACATGTACTGCAAAAACTTCTATGGAGGAAATGGAATTGTTGGAGCACAGGTATATCACCATAGTCTAGTGTGTTTGATGACAAACATGTCAACTGGTCCTTTTGGTCTCTTCACTACAATTTAGCTAGCTACCAAAGCTACCTTATAAACCAGTGATATTTTAGAATTAGATTTTATTAGAGAAAACCACTTACTCAAATGTTTTCTTAGCACAAATCTATATTTACCAGTATTTTCTCAGTTTGAAGTAACTGAGAACACAGACATGATAAGTGGGTCTTCTTTGACCTTCTTTACACATAATGTGGAATTAAAGCAATGTGACGCTGGTCATTAAATGTTTATTTGGCCTGACTGCTGCCATGGGTACCTTAGCTCTGTTAGAAATCTTATGGCAAGAAACCAACATCAACCAAATTCTCAGTTTACAGGAATCCTTGGTATTGATCTAAGCTGCCACTGAACAAAAACCTTTGGGTCATAACAATTGTGATGCACTGTCTTATATTTTATGGTTTATATAGCTTAACCCAGACATATGTTGATTCTCCTCAGGTTCCCCTCGGTGCTGGTGTGGCTCTGGCCTGCAAATTCCAGGGCAACAACCAGTTGTGTGTCTGTCTCTATGGTGATGGTGCTGCCAACCAGGTATGGCACAGAAAACACTGGTTTAGTCAACCTTTCAGTCACAGAGTGGGTTTAACACCAGCTTGTTGTCTTTCAGTGCTTTGTTACACAAAATTCCTTCATATGCTTTACAGGGTCAGATTTTTGAAACCTATAATATGGCCTCACTTTGGAAGTTGCCCCTCATCTTCATCTGTGAGAACAACAGGTATGGTATGGGAACATCAGTGGAGCGAGCTGCAGCCAGCACAGACTACTACAAGAGAGGAGAGTTCATCCCTGGTCTGCGGGTACTGTTCTTACTCTTTTCTTTAAACCTTTTCCTCAACTGATGCACTTTTTGAGTAGCAGGGACAGTCGTCCAAATTGAGGAAAGTTAATTTCACCTTGTCAGTATGTGTTATTGAGTTTAGACAGATGAGGGTGGAAAATGGCAATTTTATTCATTAAAAGGTGAATCAACAACACAAAGTGGGCAAAGGAGCGTTTCTGTATGTAGCTTTATTTAATTTAAGGGGACTGTTGGACCTTATATCTTCAGCCATTCTACTTTAGTATCAACTACTGTAATGAACTCCCTGAAAACGGCACCTCATTATTCAATGACTTTGTGCGTTAAGGTGGATGGGATGGATGTCTTGTGCGTTCGGGAAGCAACCAGGTTTGCTGCTGATCACTGCCGATCTGGAAAGGTAAGTGAATGATATTGAATCACATTACATGACAAATATGATTTTCATTTTCACAGCTTTTTTGTTTTTGTCATACTTTTCTCAGGGTCCCATTCTCATGGAGCTTCAGACTTACCGCTATCATGGACACAGTATGAGTGATCCCGGCGTCAGGTAAATTATCACTGTACCTGGGCCTCTGTAAACTACTGTAAAGATGACTCATCACACTATCTTGTTTATCTTAATGCCAGTCTACATTTTGCTTTGCTCTACATGAGAAATTAAGTATATTAATTTGACCGACTGATGGTATCTGCACTGTGCTTCCTCTTGCTTCTGCCACTGTCCCACTGTAGTCTTCATGTATTCTCCTTTCCGCTGTAGTGACCTCGCAGTGCCCTGACCACAGCTTAGGGTTGGACTGAACACTGACACTAATATTGATATCCTCTCCACCAGCTTATAGTTGTGATTAGAAATGTAAACACATCACAAATCACATCAAAATGTTTACAAGCAATGCTATTAATACAAACTGCAATAGTGTTACAGGGATTATTATGGTTTTGCAACAACCTCAAATCAATCCCCTTAATGCAAATAGTAGTAGTCAGTAAAAAGTTTATATTGGAAGATTTTCCAATACTTGTCTTACAATACAATTGTATTAGTGCATCCCTACAACATCCCTGCACCAATCTGCCCTCTCAGCTACCGCACACGTGAGGAGATCCAGGAGGTCCGCAGCAAGAGTGACCCCATTTCTTTGCTGAAGGATCGCATGCTAAGCAACAACATGGCCAGCGTGGAGGAGCTCAAGGTAGGAAATACTTTGTTTGTAAAATTAAGGGGGAAAAATTGCTAAATGACCAAACCCTTTGAGATCATGTATCTATTGCCAATAATATTAATAACAAAACACAACTATATAATACAAGCAAATTACTATAATTCTCTGCCTTGTGTGTGTTGCGTCTGTAGGAGATTGATATAGAGGTGAGGAAGGAAATTGAAGATGCTGCTCAGTTTGCCACCACAGATCCTGAACCCCCACTGGAAGAATTGTGCAACCACATCTTCTCCAACAACCCGCCTGTGGATGTGCGTGGCACGAACCCGTGGTCCAAGCTGAAGTCTATTAGCTAAAGGTGGTTTTCTTTCTCGCCTTTTCATCACCTCTTCAACTCTAATATATTATCCCCCCTCCCTACCAATCACATGTACGCAAACATCACATAATGTACCGTATGGTGCCTCAAACCCAGGACATAATGCATCAGCAAGTATTTAAAATTTAAATACTTACCTTATTGTCTTGCCAGTTCACTTCATAACATTACTCCACTCCATTTTCTTGAATTTCTCATGAAATTTTGTCTCATATTTATTTATTTCTCATAAAACTTTCATTTTATGTTTAGTAAATAAAACTCCATCCATGACAGTAGTGGGTTGTTTAAAGTCATGTATGAAGTACTCGAATTAAAAGCAACGCCGAAGAAGTTCTTTACTACTGTCGCTACTGTATTTAAAGTCTCTTAACATTAAGCACTCTGTAATTTTCCCCTTCACAAGGTTTTGCAAATCTGGCCCCAAGTGAATATTCTAAATCTGCCTGGTTGATATTTATCTTGGATCATTCATTTCTGAGGTGTAATTAAACAAACGTTCATCCATCACTGCTTAACTCAAGAAAGAAAAAAACCCAAATTGAATTAATAATTCAATTTGAGTTAAGCAGCACTTGTTACAAAGACATAAATGGGAGCAGGGTAAAGATTGTTGTCAACATTCTTGATACATCTCCAAATGTTCTTCTTTCTGTGGACTATATGTAATAAAGAGTAAAGACTACCAAGGGAAAGTTTTGAAATATTTTAACTTGCCAAACAAGACACATGCCTGGCAGGTATCATGTCGCTTAGAGGATGACTGTGTAGTCTTGTGTCTGTGTTGCACTCTGAGCTGTGCAGATGATTCTATGAATCACTACAGTCAGTTGTGTGAAGACTGTTTTCCACAGTGTTTTCATTCAGATGGTTGTGTTGCAGGTGCTCAGGTGCCTTTTTGAGTTTCATGATCATGACACATAAACAGACTTTCAATACATACTTATCCCATTACTTACATGTGTATGTAAGAATATGTATGGTGCTAACCATAGGTGAATGTAAACATGACTTCATGTCTGAATACTTTTGCTAAGTTAAGCTTTTTCAAATCCTCGGGAGATGTCGGGTTACGTACTGTTGCTTCAGCTAGCGGTTCACTTACAGCCATTTCAATGTTTCCATCAGAAAGTGTTTTTTGATATTTCACCACATCAGCAGGGGAACCTGAATGGCTCAAATGTGCAGAAATACATGGACAGTATGAATTTCAGTTTGTTTCTTTTCAAAATCTAAAAGAAATGATTGTGAAAAAACTGACAATTGAGGTAGCACAATAAAAACTGCCTGCATATCAGCATGTTATAGCAGTCAGCTACCGTGAAATCACTTATTAGTGTTAATTAAACTTTGCAGCATTTCTCATAACTCTCTAAAGAATGCCAGGAGTTCCATACCTGCAACTGCACAACTGAAAATGCCTACAGTGTATTTGTTGTGAACTGTTACATTGAAGGGGGCAGATGGCTCAAAGAAGCACTCTCAAGAAATATTAGGTTTATGTGTGAGCCACAAATAAAAAGACTGAACGGTACAGTGTTTGCAGTCTCGTCTTGACAGTAGTATGTTGGGTAAATTCTACAAATTCACAAAAAGACTAAGGTGGGTATTGGTCTGAGCTCACTGCTGTGCTCATATTTCAAGAACTTTAATAATTTTATACATTTTTATGTTTCTGTCTCCTGGCGTGGTGCCACCACTCCACCAGGTCTTTGATATTGCCAGGGTTTAAAGAGTAACATCATGTGCCTAAGATCATTATGGAGGGACATATATTCCTTTGATCTTTACAGAGATATCACATTCCTGGGAACTTATATGGAAATAAATCAAAAAAGTTAGAACACAGTAGATGTCGGTGAAGCACCTTGACATTGGTTGGCACCCGCTAGATAACAAATTGAATCATCAAAGCATTTACATGGTAAATTATGGACACATCTAGTGAATCGGAATCATGGGACAGGTCGCAGAGACATAGCTTTAAGAGGGGTGAAGCTCACTTCAGACCTAACAGGGACAGTGGAAGTAACAGTGATCAAGCAGGACATATCTCTAAGAAATTCAAAAACCTTACAGAAACCTTACAAGACATGAAAAGACAATTGTCCAAAGTAGACCAGAGGCTAGAGCTGTACAGGGACAAGACTGAAGTCACGTCAATGCTCGGAGAAATCCTGAAGGAGTCAAACAACTCAACATCAGAGAGACAAGTTTTAGAACTGAAAAGAGCCATGGATGAGATGAAGGAGAGGGACCAACTCAGTAGGGTGGAGAAATTGTCATCAGAGCTAGAAGAATTGAGGGAACTACACAACAGAGGGCAGATGGAGAGAGGGGAGATGGAGGCATCACTCCTGGAGTGCAAGAGCAGCAGAGATGAAATAAAAAGCAGGGCCATTAAGGCTGTGCGCCACTGGACGGCAAAGTGCAAGAGAATTCAGGCTCAATTCCAAACTGAGAAGGCTTTGCAGGCAGCCAGGGAAAAGAGCTTTCAAGACCAAGTTAAGGTGCTGAGCCAGCAGACACACACAATTCACACAGATGTCAATGAAGTCCTAAGCTGTTTGGCCCAGCACAAGGAAGAGCTCAAACACAAAGACTTGTCACTGAAGCAGGAAACACAGGAGTTAAGGGAGACCTTAGCTGCCCTGAAAGAAGAGAATCAGAGTCAGGCTGCCCTCCAAGCATGGCTAATGGAGCACCAGAGGCTGGAGGAACAAACTGACTCCCAAGTCTGTTGTTGTCAAAGATACCAGGACATGCCAGTTGAATTCCAGGCCATCCTGAAGAAGATGACCCCAGCCCATGCTCAGGTAGCTCAGCGGTTAGCTAAGGAGGATAGCTGCAGGAAGGAGCTCCAGAGAAGCTCTTCAGAGCTAAAAGGTAAACTGACAGTGGTACTGGAGGAGCGGGCTGCACTGGAGCAACAGCTGCAGCTTGAGAGAGAGATGCATCAGAGGCAAGTGCACAACATGAAGGCAATGATGGAGGACAGCAGCATAAATCGGGATCATGAAGTGCAGGCTAAAATGCGGTCACATTTGAAGAAGGTTAAGGCATGTGGAGAGAAAGACAAGGAGCTGTGTGGGGTGCTCCGTGCTATGTTAGCAAGGACACAGGATGAGTCTGATAAGATGGCAGTGCAGCTGAGGACAAAAAATGAGGCATATGCACTTCTGCAAACAAAATGCCAACAACTCCAACAGGAACTGGATGACAAAATTAGTTCAAGTGATCAGAGGTATATTTCAGAACTGGAGGAGAAGTTGTTACAGAAGGAAGAACAAAAGGAAAAAATCCTTGCCATCATTGGTGAGGAACTGGATGCAACATGCTGCAGCTTGGCTAATAACAGTAAATACAAACAGGCAATATCACAGAGCCCTACATTAGTGAAAAACATTCCTCACTGGCTTGCAGAGACAATGGCAAAGCTACGCTGGCTGTGTGAGGAGGTGCAGGGGTGTGTCACAAGAGAACAGTGTCTGAAGAAGCAGCTACAGCAAACCAGGGATCAGTTGGACCAACAGAAGAACCTGAACCAGTCCACTAGCAGTGAAAGAGAGAGCTGGTGTACAGAAGTTTAGGAAAGAGGAAAAAATTGGGGTTCTTCTGGACCACTTTGAGTCAATTCCTGAAAAACATTATCTGAAGGACAAATTAAATGATTTGAAGGAGTTCATTATAATTATAATCTTGTGCATAGGACAATAAACCCCTTGAACCTTGAACCCTTGAACCCCTGGATTGCTTTCCTGCTGCTATTATGAACAGATTAATTCCCATTATAAACAACATGGGTGTGTGTGTTCCAGACACCCAGAGAGTCCTGGGATTCCACCCTTCTGGACTGATGTATCCATAACCTGTCTTTCATCTATGGATTCTAGAATCTACAATGTGTGTGTGTGTCTCCAGTTAATTCATGGAAGTGTATGGTTACTGCAGGAAAAGTGACCATGAACATTCTGAACGAATTATATCATAATCACTAAACTGCCATAGACAATCATTGATTATTCCTCTCGAAATTGGAAACAAACCATAACCTTATTTTTTAAATGAAATAGTGAAATATCATTAAATTAACAAAAACATTTCACTAAAACTTCTGTTTAAAATATGAAATCCTGAACTATTTTGGTTTCATTCTGAAGAAAATCATATAAGGGACAATTGATACATTCAAATGAAATGAATGAATTGTGTGTCATTTTGACAACAGGAATCCACCCTGTGTCCAAGAAGCTCTGCACACAACGTCCAGCAGGCAAACAATACAAACAAGTCACAGTGTATTGTAGATCTGTTTGAGGTGGACTTACCAATGACAAGAAATAACTAATGTAAATGATGGATAGATAAATAGGTAGATGGATGGATAGATAAACTGATAGACAGAAAGATATATAGATAGATGATAGAGAGACAGACAGATAGATGGATGGATAGATAGACAGAAAGATATATAGATGTATGGATAGATGATAGAGAGACAGACAGATAGATAGACAGAAAGATATACAGATAGATGATAGAGAGACAGAGAGATAGATGGACAGATAGATAGACAGAAAGATATATAGATAGATGATAGAGAGACAGACAGAGAGATGGATGGATAGATAGATGGATCTATAGATAGATAGCTGGACGGACGGATAGTTGGATAGAAAGACAGATAGATGGACAGATGTATAGAGACAGACAGACGGACGGACAGATAGATAGATAGATAGATAGATAGATAGATAGATAGATAGACAGACAGACATACAGATAGATAAATAGATAGAAAGATAGATTGAGAAGTACCTTTATACCTTGTAGTTGGTAAATGGAAAGAATAGGTGAAGCAGTGAGCTAATTAAATCCAGAAGGTGGCAGTAATGTGGCAATAAGGACGCAGGCTGCTGCAAAACTTGAACGTAGAAGAAGAGGAGGAGGAAGAAGGCTCCTCAAACAATCCTGCTCTAAAGCCTGATCCCTCTGTAGTTGAGAAAGAGAGAGAGAGACGACACCATGGAGTTAGTTTCCCACACCGGAGTGAAGCGGCAGGAGCCTTTGAGCACCGCTGTCCTCCTCCTCCTCTTCCTCGCCGCCACCACAGTCACATCTGCAGAGGAAGGCGCCAACGTGAGAAACTCCCAGTGTCACAACTACGCGGGAGGACACGTCTATCCCGGGGAGGCTTTCCGTGTGCCCGTGTCCGACCATTCCCTGCACCTCAGCAAAGCCAAGAGTGAGTGTGTCTCTGCGCCTGTACAGCCACATGTGTTTGTGCACAGCGGGTTTTGTTTTCCCGTGAGAACCCAGCAGCTGCGGCTTCATCATGCTGGTCCCGACCCACCGACCCAAACAGTGTCTCAGCCTCTGTCTTATACTGACTGTCTGTCTGTCTGTGGCAGCTTTCAAGACTTTTCTGTCACTTACACTTTAGGCCTCAGTTTGAATCAAATTGATTTTTTTGTAGGACACGTCATTCTGTTCAATTCCCTGGACTGAGTTCCTCCCCACATCCACACAAGCCCGCCCCTCCGGCACATGACGGTGTGTAGCCCAGCACCAAACTTAGTTTTTAACCCATTAGTGGAATTACACATCATTTTAAAGGGATATTTCACTCAACAATCCAAAGTTCACTCATCATCTACTCACCACTATATTGAGGGTGAAAGTGTTTGAGCCCACAAAACACTTTACAGGGGTAAACACTGTTGCAGCCAAATCTAATAAAAGTAAAGTAACAGGATCGATTCTAATAAAGCTACTGTCACTCTAATGTTGCAGGACAAGTATGCAACTTAACGAAGATTCAATATATCCATGTCCACAAAGGGTGAACTTATAGTTCAGTGGAGTTGTGTCCATTTTTCTTACACACAAACAAGAGAGGGGCATAACACTCACCTTGTCATGCAGTGTTTATTATTAAATGCATATGTTTGACTTAGGGTTGGGTGAAGTGGCCAAAAATATTATCAAGATAAAAAATATACAATATCAAATGATATCAATAATTATCATGATAAATGTCACATTATTAGTTATTTTGAATATAAAGATTTAGTTTTGCTGGTTTTTATCTCTTTATAAACAGAGAATGACAAACACTTGATGAACAGTAAAACATTTAATAATCTGAGGTAAATCAATTATGTGTTAGAAACCTGATGACCTGGTGATAGTTCAATAAAAATTGATATCGTTTTATAGCACAGCCCTAGTTTGATTATCATCATTATATTTATGGTGTCTGTGTTGTTCCACTTAAATGAGTTTCTGTTTGTCCTTTGTCGTCATGACTTTTGAGACTTTACCCCATAACACAGCACCTCATTTTTAGCAGCCAAATGCCCCTTTACCCATGCTGCCTGTGGTAATAGAGACAAACATTACAAAATGATGTAATGCCTACACTTTGAGTCGAAAAGTATTGAAAATAATGACATATCTCAAATGCAGGGAAACTGCACCTGCAATGAAGACCTGAGGTCACAAAAAAATATATATATATTATCATGACCAAAATTGGACTAGGGTTTTGATTAAAAATATTTCATCATCAGTCAACTAATCTTATTGTTATTATTATTTATTGATTATTTGCTTTTTCTATAAATGTCTGGAAATAGTGAAAGGGATTGGTTATAATTTCCCCTTGAGCTCTTCAGATTTTGTCCAACTAACAGTCCAGAACAGAAGACACTCAGTCTTCTATCATTTATGACATGTGAGCAGAGCAGCAAATCTTTCCATTTGAGAAGTTAAGAAGAGTAAATGTTTTGCACAAAAATGATAATTCAGTTATAAACATGTATTTAAATATATGTAATATAAATATGCATGTGACGATTTAACATCTGAATAGCAAACATGTTTTTAAGTACTTAATAAAATCTTAGTTCAATCGATCAAACATTTACTTTTCTTTCTACATTAGTTTCAAAGCCTGCACCACATTGGGAAGGAACAGCTGTCATCAACGGTGAATTCAAGGAGGTGAAGCTGTCAGACTACAGGGGGAAATATCTCGTCTTTTTCTTCTATCCCCTGGACTTGTGAGTAACGTCCGAGGCGCAAGTTGCATAATCGTTTTTTGTTTGTGTTGCTAGGATTGCTGCCTGACGGCATAGGTTAATGTGACTGTTGTTTCTTTTGCAGCACATTCGTCTGCCCTACTGAGATCATTGCATTCAGCGATCGCGTGCATGAGTTTCGTGCCATCAACACGGAGGTGGTCGCCTGCTCTGTGGACTCCCAGTTCACCCACCTGGCCTGGTAAGATGGCTGTCCCCATTGAACCCATATGCTGTCAGGCTTCAGTGCCTTAAAACAACCTAGTAATAACAGATGTCCAACTGCAGAAACAACGTTGGAATTTCAGTTGATCTGTTCTACTGGCTCTGGCTTATCTCTGAAGTGAGGTTTTTTTTGGTTGGATAATATCGTGTTCCTCTTGAAATGTTCCTTTTTAACAGGATCAATACGCCCAGGAAGCAGGGGGGACTTGGACAAATGAAAATCCCTCTGTTGTCTGACCTCACTCATCAGATTTCAAAAGATTATGGAGTCTACCTGGAGGACCAGGGACACACTCTGAGGTACAGTTTCACATTTACATTTATTGCTATTATCAGAGTTTGATCAGTAATCAACTTAATGAAACAGGTCATGTTATATAACACTTATGCAACTCTGAGGTGCTGTAAAAGTGAACATTGGGCGATAAGTTATGGGAGCAGTTACAGGTGAATATTTTGGGTGGGATCAGTGGTTCAGTTCCTAAAATGAATATTTGTCCTGAGAGATCTAAACTGGTCAGCTGTAAGTTCATCTGTTCACATCTGGCATTAAAATGCACCGGAGTGTGTCTCCTCTGATCTCCTGACTTGTCCATGTCTGTACCAGGGGACTCTTCATTATCGATGACAAAGGCATCCTGAGGCAGATCACCATGAACGATCTTCCTGTGGGAAGATCTGTGGATGAGACACTTCGGTTGGTCCAGGCCTTCCAGTACACTGACAAGCACGGAGAAGGTACGAGAGGCTCAATGAAAAATAATTGGCGTCTGAAATGTCTTTTTTTCATTTGCAAGTTGATTTATAGTTTAACATGTTTTTTTGACTCTGGAGCTGTTTTTGTTTGTGCTGACTGGAATTCTGTCATTTTTTTACAGTGTGTCCAGCAGGATGGAAGCCAGGCAGCGACACGGTGAGTATCTCTGTGGCAGAGACTGACTTTAATTTTTTTTACCAACTAGTATTGTCCTACATTATACCGGTGCCATATATTTGCAGAACCGTATGTGCAGTCAACACAATAACAAATACTGTGTTTGTCTAAAAGTCCCAGTCTGTCTCAGTCTGTATTGATAAAAAGAAAAGCAATTACGTTAAGAGATACAATCTGTGAGCATCACCAGACAATTTTGCTTGTGCACTCACTCGCTCGTGGTGAATCCAGCAGGGGATGCCCTGCTGTGTTCAGACATCCAATCCTCCTGAATTTCTACAGACTTTCTACTAGGAGGCCAGGCAAAGAAAGACATTTGCATTCACACATGCACGTCCTCCAGGGAAAATACGGAGGAACTGCAGTGTTCAGTGCATATCTGAAAGCAGCTTTACTGTGCACTAATTGAATGCATTCTTTCCCACAGATCATTCCCGACCCTTCAGGCAAACTGAAGTATTTTGATAAACTGAACTGATCTGCGTTTCTGTCGTCCCAGTCTGTGAAATCCAGCACTTACTGAAGGTTCAAATAAAATGTGTTTTCTTAGAAATGCTTTCTGGCTATTCTTTTGAGATCCATCTGACAGTTTTAGCTCAGTTCATACACTAATGCCTGCAACGCATGTTGTCAGAACAGCTGTCACTGATGTGAATTCACCCTGTGATTGCCAGATGCTTACTAGCAACAGTTGATTACAAGTAGGAAAGAAGTGTACCGTATCACCAGACGGCTGGTCACAATATTAGCTCTACTGATCATGCTGTCTTTTATTTTGTTAAGTGTAAATGTATAGTTAACACAACATAAACTGCCTTAGAAACTAGCAGGAAGGTTCCCGGTCTGTGGCTTTCTGTGTTTGCATGTTCTCCCTGTGTCAGGGACTGAGCAGGCAGACTAGAGAGCCACAGGTAGTCTCCTTGAAAATCTTTTTTTTTTAATTTTTGTTCTGAGTAACAAAAATGCAAAGAAATGGGCCAACCAACAAAAGTAACCTTTGATAACAGATGAAGATATATTAACAGCACAAAAAACTCAACTGACACACAGGGGAAACATACATAGTGGCAGATCAAGCCACTCAAACACCAAAGGTATGAGACATACTAATTTTGAAAAAACGAACTATGGCAACCACAAAACACACCAGTATAAGGCCATATAATATTCACTGAGGAAAAATAATTAAACAGTAGACCAAGATTAACTAAATTAACTAAAAACCTAAATAAGGAAACAATGTCCCTCCCCATGAAACATTCAACTAGTCTCCTCTGTCTTTAACTTTAAACTTTGCCTCAATTTAGCTCTGTCGGAACAACTCAAAAAAATAAAATAAAAAACATTTGTATTTATTGCACATGTCTGTACTACTGGAAGACAATAATTTCCCCTCTGGGATGAATAAAGTATGTCTATCTATCTTATCTATCATTTATGAGGAACATGGTGCAGTCCAATTAGTGATTCAGGCCATTTAAGGTTGTCTGCTGCAAAACTTGATTAATTCTCACAAAAAAAAGATTAAAAATAAATTTAAGTATGTCATATGAAACCAAAATCTATGTGTCCAGTTATTTATCTGTGACGTGTGTGTGTGTGCAAAAAGAAGCTTAAACTAAGCAAATTAAAGAAAGATTACCACCATGTTACTGAGTTTCAGTGTCTGGTTGCTGGTGCGGCCATCACAGTCTGCCTGGCACTCTTTCTTCCTCCCACAGTCCAGAGACATGCAGATTGATTATAAGGTAGACTGGAGAATTTAAATTGACTGAGTGTGTCCAGTGGTGACTCCGCCTCTATTGCCCCTAAACCCTGCAACCCTCAAAAGGATAAGCAAATTAGATAATGGATGGATGCACTAGTTTAATTTAACATCATCTTAGAAGAGTTAACACACCCCTGCTTGGTCCTGATGAATAAATAAAAGTGTAGTAATCATAAGAAATATTTATGCTTTTGCTTGTAGGAACATTGGATGAGAGTGTAGCTGACTGGGAAGTTGTGGAGAAAACAGCAAAGTTAAAGAAAAGTGCTGGAGTAGGTCAAGGGTTAGTTTGTTTATGACTGCCAGCAGGTGACACAACATGCAAGGTCATTTGGAGTATTGAGCCAGTAAACATCTCCCTGATTTAATCATCACATCAAAATATGCCATCTCACCTCTTTATGATTAGTTATTGTTAGTAATAGTTATCTAAATAACCACAATTAATTTCTGTTACTTGCATTATATTGGTGGTACAGGGTCCCCAGATGAATGAAAGATTCCTCTTTTTCAGTCAGCAAATGATTCTTTGACTGTATATGACCCTTCTGAGTTATTTTACTTTTGAGGGTTCTATTTGTGGAAATACTTCACACTCATTTTCACTTGGGTTATTGTTTACTCAGCTCTACAGAGATTGTGCACAGGTAATGTTCTTTTTCCTTCTGGTTAATGTTTAGCTTCAAATGAAGAACAGTGGTGAACACAGAGATAAGAAGTCAACAGGAAAGGAATAGAAACCGGATGTAAGTTGCTGTTTAGGAGTTCCTGAGAGGCAAGTTTTTTATTTTTTATTGCCAAGGCCCTGAAAGACAAGTGAAGTTTAAATGCTCATTTCAGCCACAAACACAAGACATAAAAACTGTAAAAAGTACTACTGTGTTTTTTTGACTAGACGTTAGCTTTGGTATGAATTTTAGTTTTCAGCTGCTTTCATAGGTTGAAAAAAATAACAAATTAGCCTACAAAATATTCAAACAATAATCCCGGCAAAAAAACTCTGTTTAAACAGATGGAAAAAAACAGCTAGGAAAAGGAAAGGGAAAAAAAAGTCCCTTGCCTCGCCTCTCAGGACTTCGGTAGATGTTTGCCTCGCCTCTATGTGGGTTAATGAACAGGTTTGCTTCCTGGATACATAAAAGGGACGTTACTCTTGGTACTCTACCACTCTGCATGACAGCCAGTGCTATTCTGTACATGCTGATTTTCTCAATTCAATGTCGGGGGGTAAACTCCTGAGGAGCGGATGAAGAAACACATTTTGCTTTTATTCACATTCAGAGGACTAGTGAGAAAAGGTAAAAGGGGTAAAAGGAGAAAATGGCCAAGTTTATATTACGGAAAGCTGAACCCAAGGATGTGTCTGATATCCTGCGACTCATAAAGGTAAGAAGAATGTTGAGGCCTAATATTAAAACAATCAATATTTTGTCCATGGTGGCAGATCTCTCAGTCTTTTCTGTTATCTCTTTGTTTTGCCTTTTAGGAACTTGCTAAATTTGAAGAAATGGAGGAGCAGGTCATACTGACAGAAAAAGGTGGTTTAGTTTAGTCGACATTATGTTAAGTTATGTGTATATATATATGTTATGTATTAAAAATGTTTTCAGTCTTCATACATTCTTATAAAGTGTATTTCCCACTTGTAGACCTACTTGACGATGGTTTTGGAGATCATCCATTTTACCACTGCTTGGTTGCAGAAGTCCCAAAAGAACAGAGCTCAGATGGTAATAAATATGTTAACAACACAAAGCTCTTCACAATTTAAAAGTCATGTTTATCTCCATTTCCTGAATGTCGTCTGATGGTGTTTTCCAGGGCACACTGTGATTGCTTTTGCCATGTACTACTTTACATATGACCCTTGGATCGGGAAGCTCCTGTACTTGGAGGACTTTTACGTCATGGAGGAGTTTCGAGGTGAGGTTTTTGACATTTGCTGTTATGATGGTTACAAAGTTATGATGGTGGTAAAAGGTTAACAAGTTACAGATATGTTTTGCAACAAATTTTTACATTTCATCTTACACCAGGTCTTGGCATTGGTTCGAAAATCCTGCAGGTTCTCAGTGAGGTGAGTTTGCAGTTAATGCTTCCTTGCAAACAGATTCAACTTAATTTAATTCAATCCATCATTTGTCCTTGTTTTGTTTTCTATTTTCCAGACAGCAGTGAAGACTCGGTGTAGCAGCATGCACTTCATTGTTGCAGAAAACAACACCAAGTCTATTGACTTCTACAAGCGAAGAGGAGCCACTGACCTCTCCTTTGAGGAGGGCTGGCGGCTTTTTGCAATTGAAAAGCAGGAGCTGTTGAAAATGAATGCAAAATAGGAGTTTACAGTTGATTGTCTTGACTTTCCCTGACTATTGGTGATAATCCTGTTTTTTCTATTGTTATCAGTCTTCTGACAAACTTTGCTAATAAACAGCTTTTCTTAATTTCAGTTAATCTAAAATAAGATTGGAAATAATTGCTATAAGCCGATGTTGAGTAATTTTGTTTATTTTTCTAGACCTTTAAATGTATAATTCTTCAACAATTAGGGAAGAATTACAGGGAACATAGGAATAAATCATCAAACAACCTTGTTCATGACATAAATAGGTGTTAATCAGAATACTGTTAATTAAGATAGATTTTAAATATTATGTATGTAATGGAACTACTTTTTAATGTTTACATTACTCCTGTAAATATAAGTAGGTCTAGTTTAGTCAAATGTAAGAACATTTTACCCACCAAGCAAGTTACCAAGCCAAATTACCAACAGAGCTACTTAAAAAACGCAGAGTGGAGACCATACAATGTACAACATGCATGATGAGTAATATATTTTTGACTGGTTATTTCTATCCAACAATGTAATGTCTAGGAATTTTTTAACCACCGTGTGCGCTAATCTTTTGGTATGTGAGCTTGCTCCCTCTTTCTGTCAGGCATTGCAGATTTACATCATTATTTGTATCTTTTTTGACCCATTTGGGGGAAAACAGAATTAAAACTGATTGAGGATTAGTGTCAATGCCAATGTACCAATGATATGTGACAATGTAGAGATAATGTTGAAGTAATTAAAAGTATTGAAAATATGTAATTTGCTGTATTATTATTATCATTATGGAACACATTACTAATGTCAAAGGGTATGTAGTCTGTAATCTGCAATAAAGTACATTTTAAAGTAATGTGGGAACATTGGAATAATGAATTTTGTAGTAACACCATGTTGTAAGACAATGCTAAGTGCGTAGAATCAGTGATGGAGTTGTTGTATAGATATTTTTGTATTGAGAATGTTGCTCAAGCTAGAGGTAACAAAAAGCACTTGAATTATCTCGAGTAAAAGCGCTCAGTGTTTTGTTTATTATCATACTGGAGCCATACTAACTAACATGGGTGTAGAACTGGCATTAATTCAAACCTTTTTACATATACTGTTAGCACTGTTGTAAAACACATGTATAGTGAGTTACAGTCACTGTGAATGTAATATCAGTTTGAAAGGGTAAACAAAGTTATGTAAAAGTACAGGATGCATCTCTGAAACCTGGAATGAAAACACTAGTGTATGTTTGCGATGATACTATTCACGTTATACTATATTACTTTTACATCATGTGCACTTTCCCATTAACTTCTCCTTTTATCATTACCACTTGCTGCCACTTTGTTTAGTTTTAGTTTCAGTGCTTGGCACTGGTTCTGCATTACTCTGTATATACTTTATATTTTTTATTTCATTAACAATTCAATTTACACATTTATTTTCACTTATATTTTTTGATTTAACACTTGGTTATTTTATTATCTGTAAATCTGGTTTTACAGATTTCACAATCTATTGTTCATTCAGTCAAACTCATTCCCAGGCTTGATTAAAAGACTTCTTCTTAAGATGTGAAAATGTTGAGCCTCAGCAGAGGGGGGTCGTGAACAAACGATGGTTTTATGAACCCAGGAGATGACACTGGAGCTTCCATTATAAACTGGAGGGTACTTTGAATGTCTAATGTTCTCGGAGTGGGGGGTCATAGTTTAATCACCTGTGATTGACCACCCCACCGCCGCAGAGGAGTGTGCAGTGAGCGGGGAACAGAAGCCGCCATCGCCCCATCACTAGCTCCACCAACCTCGGGGACATGAACTCATTAATTAACACTGCGGTGCTCGTCTCCACGCAGCCCGTCTGAGCGGCGTGTCTTCGGAACATGGCCTGTTGGTTCCTGCCGGTGCGACTTCCACCGCAAACCCTTCCGCATTTTCCTGCCGCTCTCGGGCTGTGACGTGTCGTGCTGACGGCGGCCTCGGAGCTGGAGGAGCGGGGGGCTGTAGCACGACAAGAAGCTGGCTCCGCACGTCCCGCTTTGCTTTCAGCGGAGCTCCAGAAACAACCCCTAACCCCTCCTTCTCTGCTCCTCTCCGGCCCGCCCAAATAACACAAAATTCCCGACTGAATCCTGCCCGAGTCTGGGGGAACCAGGCGGCCTGGGAAAGCCGAGAAGCGGACCGAGGCCATCCCTGCAGCACAAATCCGGTACGCGGCTCATTTTACTACCAAGGAGCCAGTTTGCACAGCTACGTTTGCATTAGTGCGTGTCCGTGCCTCTTTGTTATCGCATGCATGTGGGCTTTTGATTTATTTCTCTATTGTCGCTGAGAGGCCGCAGAGGGTTGGGCCTTTTCTCCTCGGGCCCGGGGCCTGAATAGAGGCCGTAATTTGGTAATCCAGGCCTATCCGGTTAGCTAGCCAGCCCCGCTCAGAGTAAAACGGCGTTTTGTGTTCGCTACTCGTCCCCAGCTAATGTCACATCTAATCGATTGTAACGCTTAATGCGCGATGTAGCCTTTAACACGAGCCCAGTTCAGATAGATCTCCGCCGAGGAGCGTTTTCTACAACCGTGAAAAATTAGCATCCGTCCAGACACTAAGCTAACAAAATGGCGGACGCTGGTGTAAATGAAAATCGGCGGTTGCGAAGGAGCGTGCTGTTAGCCCCCCTCCCGCTAGCCTCGCTAATGTAGACACAATAAAACCCTCAGTGTTTCTCCACACGTGTAATATCGCTGTATGTGTTTTATTTGTATTTAACCGCTGGAGCTCAGCGTGTTTTTGTGGCTGTGACAGTCGGGACTTTGCGTTGCCTGTGATCGGCGCTAACGCTTCTCCAGTGGTCAGATGGAGACACTGCCGCTTATCGTCTCATCTGCCTCCACAATGTTGAGTGCAGCGTGGATGGGAACGCTGGGTCAGTCCGATCGCCCGCGAGGTTTTCACCGTGTTCAGTGCTTGTATCTGAACACTGATGCTCTCATGGTGCGTGTGAGCCGCATCTGCACACACCGTTGTTTTCTACCTGGGGGTGGGGGATGGTACACTCTAATGGCACCCCCGGCTGCAGCGTCCACGCCACTGTTTACATCCCAACACCCCCGGTGTGTGTGTGAGAGACACGGGCTTCTGTCGCATACGATTTCACCTCATGATGAATCCAGTGTTGATGTTTTGTTGCTGAAGCAGAGATGCAGTCATTGCTGTTGTGCCACAAGCACTTTCACTTTTGTGCAGACAGAAGCTGACACCACAAATATCAGTAACTTGATTGAATCGCGAGGTTCCCCTTAGTCAAAGTCTGTCTTTAATTTCTTTACACAACCTTTTTTTTGTAAATCTTGTGACCTACTCTTGTTGGTGTGAATAAAATATAAAAACAAATGAAGCTCCTCTCACATAATCTTGTGAAATGCATCAACTAAATCAATATAATATAAAGCGTGATTGCATATAAAACAGATAAAACATGAGTTATGTAGTAAGGCTTCAGGAGTCATTTAAATATGGTTTAGAAGAGCGTAGAAGTGCCTGCTTGTGACCAGATAAAGTATTGAAGAGTAGGACCAAGTTTTATTTAGTCAAGAAGTCTTAATATACTGGATTTACTCCTGAACAGTCCTTAACAGATGGCTGTGTATTAATTGTAGTGATATTCAAGCTGTCCTTTTTGTACACCAGTCCAGTGTTCCTCCCATCATGTGAATCACATTATCATATCAAATTAACCACACACACAATGTTTCTCTTCAACAAGCAAAGGGTAACAGGCTCATTGTAGCTTTCCCTGGTTTACCTTCAGAAGAAATCTACTGGATTCTGTGTAGCTTAACATTCAATGTTATGTTACTATCAATGTTTTAAAATCCAAATAGTTTCAAATCAAGACATGAACCCAAATTAGATTTTTTTTTTGTGTGATGTCCGCATTTGTCACACAAACAGCACAAGGATCAAAACTTTAAAATGTGTAAAAGACTAATTTAGTGTTATTAAAGTTGTGACTGTATCAGCGGTTGACTGCTTGTTGTTGGGGTTTGGATGGTTTTAATGTTTTTACTGCTTCCACCAGCTTTGGTTATTGAGATCTAAGATTTCCTCATCTGCTTTCAGCTGTCCAGTAACAAATGCAGTGCGAGGACAATGGATGAGAATGTCACCAGGCTTGCAATACATTCCGAAGAGCCTAAAATAATATTACACGGATCGGGTAAGTCACAATGCTTGCATTACTGTGTTTTTATGGACTCAATGATTGTAGGTATTTGCAACCTCTGCCAAAATGTGGTGTTTCAACAAGTCAGATGGTTAACTTCAACATTAAAGTAAAATAGTTTGAATTGATGTGTTTGCATTGTGCCGCGATGTCAGTAGGAAATCAGCAACATTTAACGTAACAGTTAAAACATCCACAACACCAAACTATTGCTTTTGATTGTTTTCTGGCTAACTGGCTTCTACTGCTTCTTCACAGATGAAGGTGGTGCCGGCGGACAGGAGTTTGTTGTGGAGCTTCAAGAGACTGTGTTGGTGTCGGAAGGTGACGGGGAAGGCATGGCAGTTCACAGGTTTGCCCCAGACGAGCTTGTCATCCAGGATGCTGTCGAAGATGTGGTGTCTGAGTATGTGCACTGCGATGAAGATGAAGACGTTGCTGTAGAAACCTGCGTGATGGCTCTGGAGGGCGAGGAGGAAGGTGTTGCCATGGGTGATATCCCTGAAGATGGGCTGGACTCAGAGCAGCAGGAGGATGACCAAGATGGCTGTGGAGATTATCTAATGATATCATGTAAGTTTACAAGTCTGCATTACACAGATTGGTGGATCGGATATCAGGCTGATCTTAAAAAAAGTTTAGTGTAAATCCATTTTTAGACAAATTAAAATGTAATTGCTCAAATTACCCTCCGAGGTGGGTTGAGAGACATTCAAGCCCGATACAAATTATACACCCACAGTCTGTCTCCTCATCATTCTATTTGTGTTACCATGTGGATATATCAGTATACTAAGGCCGCCCTGAACACGATTTTGAGACCTTGATGCTTCAGTAAAAATAACTCAGGAAGCAATCCTCATTGATTTGCCGGTTTCCTTTGACATATCAGATTGTTTGGGGATCATCTTCACAGATTTGAAAGTTATTCCACACACATCTTGCTAGTTTAGTTTTTGTAAATTGTCAGTCATTATGCCAGTGCTGGAAATGGACTGCAATAAATAAATAATAATCAATATTGATAAATCAATGTTATTTGTGATGAATAATGTTGGATTGCCATTTCATGGCTTATTCAGACTTTGTATTGGTAATGCATAAATAATATGTATATATTTTTTTAATATTGCATTAAAATAGATTTGGACGTAATGTGTCATGGCAGTGATCTTAAAATTTGAAGCATTCAGGTCAGACAAAAAACTGCCAAAGTTCAAAAGTTGCATTTTTAAAGCTGGTACGAAACAGCTTGAGTTATTTTGCTACCTGAGGTGCATATATTTGGTAAAGTGTGAATGAAAGTATGTTAGGTTTTTCTACCCAAGTTTAATTTCATCTCCAGTTTATGGGAAGTATTCATTGCAATCAGTATAATAAAATATATTGATATATTGAAATTGTCCAGCTGCATCTTCACTGAATGTAGCTTAAATACGGTAGAGGTATTAAGCATTTATGTTCTCACCAGCTTCTGGCTGGCAGACCCAACACTTGAATTAAATCTTATATGAAATATGATGTGTGTCCTTTCACAGTGGACGAAGCTGGTAAAATGGTATCAGAGGATGGAACAGAAGTGACAGTGGAGGGAGCAGTGGAGGACCAGGAAGTGGAGAAGGATGAGGATGGGCAGGAGGTGATAAAGGTCTACATCTTCAAGGCTGATTCTGGGGAGGATGACATGGGTGAGTTGCAGTTAACTTTCAACTTTTTTTTTAGGATTTGATTTAATGCTTCATTATAAAATACAAAATACACTAAGATGTGCCTGTTTATTATACTTGTGAAATTAAAAGTGGAGAATTTAAAAGATGTGTTTATTCTGTAGGAGAATCGGTTGATATCAGCGATGGAGACACAGAGAGTGTGCGGTTAACAGAGTCTTCAGGCCAAACGCTCAGAGAGAAGATGGTTTACATGTCTGTTGGAGATTCTCATCACAATCAAGGAAACCACGGTGAGTCGAC